GCTGCAAACAAGAAATATGAAGCTTCTATGCCCGACGATTATAGAAAACCAAGACCAGATGCCTCTACAGAGGAGCGTTATGATTTTATTAGGTAATATTAGCACCACACTGATCATATCTTTATAAAAAAACAGTGCATTCTAAATCAGATATTTTTATCTGAATACCTCAGGAGAAAATATGAGCTGAAGGAATTTTCAAACTGCGATGACAAAATGTCCAGCCCATTTCCAGGTTCTATAAGTTCATTACCCACTCCTTCAAATAGTTGTCCTTCCCAAGACAAGAAACAGTATGAAAAACAAGCAACCAGGCATCGTATTGGGAATGCATTTCGTAACAGCTGGGGAAGAAAAGACTCCGAGCACAAGCACACAAAAAAGAGCTACTCTTTGGTAATGAATCCCGGCTTCATTAATGTATTTATCGTATGTTGTGGATTATGAGCTCACCTTTTATAGCAAGCTATAACATATGTTACTGCAATTACTGTGCCCCTTCTGCTGCAATGTTATCATTTATGAGAAGTTAATATAAAACATGAATGCATGCACAAACATAATATGCACAAAAATAGATGTTCGACTGAAATTACTCGTATCGCAAATCATCATCATGCATGGTTTGTGGTGGACGAAAATGTGATGCATCCTATCTTGAGTTTTCAGCAAAACTTTCTGATTCTGTTGCTTTAAATGTTCTGTTTATAGGCAGGTATGGTTGAATTTATTGGATTAATCAAGGTTAATGTAGTCAAAGGAACTAACCTAGCTGTCCGGGATGTGATGACTAGTGATCCATATGTAATCATTTCCTTGGGCCAGCAAGTGAGACTCTCCTCTTTTTGACCCCATTGGCATCATAATTCTGTTGAATTGAAATGGAGTGAGATGCAATAAACCTGTTAATAATGTCATTTCTTTGTTATTTGTTATTGCAGTCAGTGAGGACACGCGTCATAAAGAACAACCTGAATCCAATCTGGAATGAAAGTCTAATGTTGTCAATTCCAGAACAGATTCCTCCTCTGAAAGTGGTATGTTGTGTCAATTTTTCTGTGTGGGAACACAATAACTTTGGAAACGTTAATACCATGCTAGCAAGCTCCTCCTTTTGGTCTTTGGTTATGGATGCTTAAAATTCCAGGTGGATTTATGCAGCTTGTTTATGACAAGGATACATTCTCAACCGATGACTTCATGGGGGAGGCTGAGATAGACATTCAACCACTTGTTGCTGCTGCTAAAGCGTATGAGAATTCAACCATCACTGAGTCAATGCAGCTTGGTAAATGGATAGCAGGCCAGGAAAACACCCTTGTTAAAGATGGAATTATCACACTAGTAGACGGAAAGGTAAAGCAAGAAATCAGCCTCAAGCTAAAGAATGTAGAGAGAGGGGTGCTGGAGATTGAGCTTGAATGTGTTCCTCTTACCCAATAGTTACATAGAGACACTAAGAAACTAAAAACATGGTGATACCATATTTGAAATTGGCTTTGAATGTTGAATTCACCATGGAAGAACCTTTTAACCTGCTGTTGTTGTAAACTGTTGTAGCCCTTGTTTCATTACAAATAATTTGCCTGACAGGAATTATTAGGGTTTCCATTAACGAATTGTATATAGCTTGTGTGATTTTATAACGCCAACACCAGCGATGCAACCAAATTTTGTATCCTGACGAATCTTTTTTCGGTTGGTGCAAAATCTTCAGGGTTCTGCAACTTCCTTGATGATAATGCACCGTGAGTACCAAATGTGCAGCTATCACTCTGCTGAATAAACAGAAACCCTTCTGAACAAAAATCTTGTACAGGATTTGAAAAATAACAGGAAAATCTGAAGAAACTTGAGGACATTGAAAATCAGATGGGTAGGTTCGGTTGGTGCAAAATCTTCAGGGCTCTGCAGCTTCCTTGATGATAATGCAGCGTGAGCACCAAATGTGCACCTATCACTCTGCTGAGTAAACGGAAACCCTTCTGAACCAAAATCTTGTACAGGATATGAAAAATAACAGGAAAATCTGAAGACACTTGAGGACATTGAAAATCAGATGGGTAGGTGAAGAAACTTAAGTGAGCAAGCCTTGAGAACAACTCAGATGAGCACAATGATTTCATTTTCTCTGAAGCTAGTGAACAATCTTAGCATGATATAAAATATAATTTATTAGTATATTTTCAGGACAAATCACAGCTCTCTCCTAGGTTGATGAGAAACGAGAGGCAATCATACAACCCATCAGTGTTTTCCTCCATTTTCTCAGCAACCAATCAAATCAATAATTATTACAATGGAAATTGGGGTAAATCTTTGTCTTCCAGATTCAAATTCCCACCAAAAACTTTCACTATCCTCTCTCCTCTCCACATCAAAAGCTTAATCCAAGAAAACATCTTCTTTGACTCCAAAAGCTCCAAACTCTCCTCAAACCTCGCAGCTCTCCGTCTTTGTTTTTACAATCTTGATTCTTACTGCGTCCTCTCTCTCCCCAAGCCAAACCTATCAAATGGAATAAGCTGTGTCAAAAAGCATGAAGAGCCCATTGACCCCAGGATTAACATTTTTACAATCTTGATTCCTACTGCGTCCTCTCTCTCTCCAAGCCAAACCTATCATGTCAAATGGCATAAGCTGTGTCAAAAATCATGAAGAGCCCATTGACCCCAGGATTAACCGCGTGTGCGTGGCCGAGCCCTGGAAGTTACTAGGGTTGCTGGAGATTTAAAAAGATACTACAGAGAGTCGGAAGGGAGGTTGGGGTTGGAGAAAATGAGGATCTTGTTTGTTTGAGTGGGTTTAGGAATGTGAGGCAACTGTTTGACTGGAAAGGATTGAAACTTGAGCTTGGTGAGACAATTTATGATTTTGGAACTAGCTATGAGATTGAATGCGACTAAAGAGCCTGAGAAGTATAAGGAGTTGATTGAAGGGTTATTGAAGGATAATTGGATTGAGTTTTCCTACTCAGAAGCTAACGAGTTTGCACTTTTTCGATCTGGGAAATTGCCCTAAGTTGTGTTTTTCTGAATTGTATTGAAGCAGCGATGAGTAAATCAACTTTATTTTGTGATGTTCTGTAAAATTTGCATTTCATTTATACTAGTTTTTTGAATTGTTCTTGACTCTATCTTGCTCCTTTCTCTACAATTTGTAGCTGGATAGAGACTTTCAAGTGTATTTCATCCATACCTGAACGCCCCATTGCCTTCCTATAAGTTTGTTTTCATAGATTGTTGTATCCACAATAGGGTTTGGATTGGATAGACAAGGCCAGCTTATCTGTGAGAACCAACCCCCTCATTTGAGTCGGCAATCTGAAACTAATTTCCATTCAATGAAAACGATGGAAGTGCCAACAGAAAACATTTCAATCTGGAGCCCTATCACTTTTGTACAAAAAAGAAAGTCTTGTAAATTCATAATGGGAAAGAGATGATTTGAGATAAGATCATCCATCAATTCTCTCTTACTATTCTTCTACCTAGACTGGTCTGACATTTCGATCAGCATGATGGAAGCTCGGATAGCTATATGTTAACCAAAGTGGATTTGACCCCAAGTGGAAGCTCAAACAGCTATAAGATCATCAATACATTCTGTCCCACAATTCTCCTTGTTTGTTTGATAGATGGTTGCAACCAGAATAAGATTGGTCTGATGTATCAATCAGTGTGATGGAAGCTCAGACAGCTATAAGTTCTTTTCAATAAACCTAAACTCGGTGAGTTATTAGACACAGAGACAACATCCCCTCAAACCATGAAAACGGCATCAATCAGAATTTCCCACATCGGATATAAAGTTCAGTCTTGTTGCTAGCAGTTAGTAAAGTTGTAGATGCAAGAAAACAAACAGGTTAGAACAGTACTCAGGGCTGGGCAGTGCTAAGAGCATCTGCCAAGGGTTTACATCAATCCCCCAAGAGAACTGAAGATCAACAGCCTGTTGAGAAGGATATGTTTCATACAGCACGCTTACAGATAATTCATTCTTATAAGCAACCCAAACAAACATCTGATTTTATTGTATCGAAAGGTCCAATGAGTTAGGATTTTCCTATTAGGCCATGTGATTTTCAGAGCAATCGGATCATTTATGACTAAAAGCATGAGCTCCAAGTGAATAATTACGAGTTCTTGAACTAAGAAATAAATTCTATGAGCAATTCCAATAAGCAGGCCAATTGACCTATTATATTATAGTAGATGCTATCATCCATACAATTCGATAAAATTGTTTAAAATTTCACGTGGCAATAAGTTTAGTTTTTTGAATTGATAATGGCGAAGTGGATATCAAGTCACTTTTATTGTCACTCTAAGACCCGTATAGAAGCATTGAACCTTGATAAGCTTCTCTTCTGTTTTTCAAAAAAAGAAATACCAAATTTTTTCAATAATTGTCATATAATAATCTTAAAAATAAATATATTTTTTTTTAAAGAAAACATTATTTTGATAGAATTGAAAAGCAAGGTTAAGTTATTGACGAGAGATGAATCTAGAAAAAGCAGGGTTCCATATTCTGGATTGCTGTAGCGGAAAGGATGAGCCAAACCCAACAAAAGGTTGCAGAGAGTTAAAGAAACCAAATAGCAATAATGCGGACACTGCATCATCTATTCTTGAAGAAAGCAATCGTCTGGTTCACAACTATATCATATTCTTAACGTTGTCAAGGGAAAAATATACTCTCAATCATGAAGCGAACACAACACGCACAAGCAAAATTTTGCAATAGCTTCATCAGCGTATTCTTCAGTACACAATTATGCATTCCCAGAAGAAACGTAAAGTACTCTATGAAGCAGAAGAGTAAAAACAATCTGCAGAGACCAAATCCACCATGTACTGCTACTCGGAAAGAAAACAAAATCTCCCTAGATACAAACAATCCACAAAGACAACCACAAATGCAAAGAAACCTTCGAGTTTACCTTACATTCATGTCTGCGCTATTCATCTAACACTGGGCAACAGGAATGGGGGGGGGGGGGGAATCCACACTTTCAATGATATAAAGGATTAAGTACAGAAAGTTGGGGTTTAAAAGCACCCATTTTCATTACGATGCATCATTTGCAAATCCTTTTGCGTTGCATTAGCACTAAATATTTACAAATCCCAAAGAGGAGAGATAATCTCCCCTGCGTAAAATACAAACAAAACCCCCAAAACCAATTTGGAGTTTTGATAACACATTGTAACTACTTTTTTTCAAGACACTACATAAAACAAGCAACATCAGTCCCCTAGACAGATGTAAATACAATGAACAAAATGAAAAAAGCCAATGAATCCAATGAGTATTTTGAATCCAACCCTTACATTGATTACATACGGCAACAAGACAAATAAAAATTCGCACTAAATCAGGTGTAAGCATCGAAGTTCGATCAGGAGCAGCAATCTGGGCATCGAATCAATCCATTCTCATTACATTCCAAGCACCTCGTGAGCACCCCTTCATCTTCATCGAACAACTTTCTACTCCCACTACAATTCCCACAAGGCACAAACCTCACACCCCCACATCCTTCACAAACAAAGCCAGGCTGCTGTCTTGGAAACCGATCAAGAACCCTCACCAGTTCGCCTGTCTCAAACATTTGCTTAATCACCTCAGCACCACCCACATGATCCCCCCTTATAAACACCTGCGGCAGGCTCACATTTTTCTCTCCCAGCACGCTTTGCAGCTCCTTCTTATAAGCCGAATCCATCGAAACATCCCTCTCATCAATCCACACTCTAAACCCTCTGAAAATCATCCTCACCGCATAACAATCCTCGTAAGTCCTTCGAACCCCTCGCAAACTTGTTAAATACACCACAATCCTATCCTCGGTACCCGGCAACCGGATTTTACTATTGTTAATAAACCCAAAAGAAGGGAACCTATTATACTCAGGTCCCATCGATTTAAAAGATTGTAGCTTATGCGTTGCTTGAATTTGCAATTCATCGGGGTTCGGTGTCTGGGGTTTTGGGGACTCAAACAAAGAACGAAGCTTTTTTACCTTTCCTTTCATGGACTCAAACGAATTGTAGAATCTTGATGTTGATTGAAGGTAAGACTTGGCCACAGAAGCTGAATGAATTGTAACAGACCTATTGAATATAGAACTAGAGGTGGTATTTTTGGTGGCGGGTTTTGAATTGGGGATGATTTCCTGATTCTTTTCAACTTCAGCCATCGACCCGGATCAAGAAATCAACTAAATCCCAAGCCTTTTCCCTCTGGGTTTCTTAACTAGTTCAGGATTGAATTAACCTTGGCCCTAAAATTCAGCTCTAGAAATGCCAAAACAAAAGGAAAGAAAGAAACTTTTTTTTTAAGTTACCTTCAAGAACAACCTTGACCCGTTCAAACCCGATGCTGATCGTAGCAACGGCGATGAAATAATCAGAAAATCCTAAATAAAGAAATTGACGGTGGGTGATTGCCTTTTGCTTTTCAGGTAAAGCAGATGAGATGAATTTGGTTTGCTTTCCTGTCTTTCTTTGGAGGTAACGAGAAAGATAGCTGGATAGAGAAAAGAGGAGGAAAGGGAGAGGAAACAAGAAAGAGAGAAAGGAAAAAAAAGATGTTTTTCAGTTTTGGGTTTGCTTGCTTTTGTTGCTGGGAGAGAGAAATGTGGAGGAGATGATTTTGGAGGCTTGAATTGGATACAAAGCTAAGAATAAACTAATAGCATATTTGTATTTTAGTGTTGAAAAAGCTTTTCAAAAAATTATTTTTTTAATATTAAATTAATTTTTTTCTCATGCTTTTGTATATTTAAATTAGAAAATATTATTTTAATATCTTTATAATAAAAAAATATCTAAAAAAACTGTAGATAAATAATAAAATTTACTCTTTTTTTTTTTAATCTTGCAAGGAGGGAGGGAGGGAGAGAGAGAGAGAGAGAGAGGGGGCTTTCTACACAGAGACTTCTTGCTGGGGGTGATGAGGTCAGAGTTGCAGACAGATAAACCACCACCGCCTAGTTTGAAACATACGAGGTTCGCTGTTTTTTTCTGCTAGAGTTTTCGTGGATGTTTCGAGTGTTTTCTTTCCTCTTTCTTCTTTTTTTGTTTTTAACTAACATGAGTGTTCGAGATAACTTGTGCATACCACGACTAATTTCACGGGTCCTGAAGTTAACGACCATGTAAGAGCATCTCCAATGGAGAATTTTTAGTTCTAAATTTTTATCATTTGACCACCATTTAAATGGTTGTTTTCTTTTCTTTTCTCTCTACTCGTGGTATAAGGTAATGATGCTTGTTGTATGTACTAAAGACTAATTTTTTTTTTAAATAATTTTAAAAAAGTATTTTTTTATATTGATGAGGTCTATTTTAAAAAATTTAATAAAAAAATTAATACCAATCCGGAGATTTAAACTTAAAAAATTTTAATACTAGTTAATTTCTTAGAGTTACCATATGCTATTTTTTTTTATTGTTATTATAAGTATCTTTGGATTAGATTGTATGGTATTCTAGATGAAATATCTTTCAAAGATAAATTTTATTTATGATAAAAATTTTAAAAGTTTGAAAAATAAATATTAGCAGAGGAAATCATGACTTCCCATTTTTTTATTATTTTAATTGTGACGTGGGTCCACAGATTTGTATGTACATCCCTTTAAAGAGGCATGATGATTTTTCAAAAAGAAGATGTGATGGTGACGTGTTTTTTAGAAAAAGGCTATGATGATTTTTCGAAAAGAAGAAGTGATGGGATCTATAGGAAAATTACTATCTAAAAATTTAATCAGAAAAATAAGCATTTAATATATATATATTTTTTAAGTCCGTGGGTTCGATAATAATATCACTATCTAAAGATAAAAAAAATTAATTAATTTTTTAAAATTAATAGTTAAAGATTTAATCACGAAAAAAGATGTGAAAATAATCATAGCAATTCATTGTTGATACATACAATCTCACAGCAATTTTATAGTATTTGATTTCAAATTTTGAACTCTGAGTTGTTGTTCTATCCCTTTCAGGCACAAACTACGTTTACCTGCCAAATTAATTTATTAATTTTATTTATCGTTGACAAATAATTAAATTATGAACAACACAGCTAATCATCTTAAAAGGGGAAAGGAGGATTACAGATCTTTTAAAAGAGTTATAGATTTAGGGTTTGTTTGGGAAAGTTATAAAAACTATAGATTATAACATATGAAAATAACACGTGAAATAACTACAATATTACTCTTTAAATTTTATTAAATACTTAAAAGTCACTCTCGCAATTGATGATTTAAATTGATGATTTCCAAACGAGCACTAACATGTTTCTGTATTTTTATTACCGTCTTTTCATTAATTAAAATCCTTGGTTATTAAGAAAAGATATTCTTCTTAAGTTATTTTTGTGTTATGCAATGGCATTTATGATTTACAAAACTTGCTTTGTTAAAAAGAGATTTAAATTGTTAAATCATAGTTGTTGGAGTTTAAAATATTTACCTTTTAGATGGTCTGTCTTGTTGAGTTTTTTATCTGTAACCACACTTTTATTTATTTATTAATGATTCATTTGAAAGTATAATAAAGTATTTTTTGTTTGAAAATATATTTAAATGATATTTTTTTTATTTTAAAAAAATTATTTTTGAATTGTACACCAAAAAAATAAAAAAACACAAAATAAAAAATTTAAAGCTAAAAAATTTTTAATTTTTTTTAAAACACAATTAAATTACAATAATAAATAGAGCCCAGGATTTTTTTTTTAAAAAAAAAAACACAGTTAAATTACAATAATAAATAGAGCCCAGGAAAAGTTAGCAATATATATATATATATATATAATAAATTTATAGAATTTGTTACATATTAAAATCTTTATTTTTTTTTATTAATTCATATCTTTATTGGCCACAAAGCTATAATAACAACCCTTTGTATAAAAAAAAGTAAAAAAATTCTAACAATACCAAATAAAAAAATAAACTAGGAAAACAGTTGATTCAAACAGGGTTAAAAAAATTAGAAAATCATAATAATTCAGAATATAAATTTTTTTAAATAGTTCCTTCTCCAGCCTCCATTAATTGGAATGAACTCACTCTCGAACTTAAATCTCAGTCACCATGTAAACTTTTTATATGCAGATTACCATATCATAGCCCTTAAGACCTTGCGTGGATCTTCTCATCATGAATCTTCTACCTTACACATTTATAAAGAGCCACATGAGCTCTGTCACCATGATTTCCAACAATAGCAATTTACAGAGACATAAACAACACATTGTTCCCTTAGTATCTCTTTTCCATCGAGAACCTTTTAATTTTAATAATGGTTATTGAGATAGTCAGGTTCTGATTCCAACCACAACTATTAGAAATCACAGACAAGAAGTTAATGACATTTGTTATACCGAAAGCACCATCATTAGACAACCAAAATATTTATCTTTTTATTCATCCATATCTCGGTAGTATGACAACCATTTATATAGGAAAAAAACTAGAAAACCCCACTGATATCTACTGGGAAAAATTAAACTAGGAAAACTATTCATTTCAAATCAGAAAAAAAAAAAACATAATAATTTGAACTACGAAAGAATAAAAATTAACTACGAAAAAATAAAATTAACGAAAATAAAGATCACACTTTTTTAATTCTGACAATTTACAGAGAACCATGAGACAACCTTGTCTGGTTTTGGATGAAGAGCAAGCATTGCACTCCAAATGCAGCAAAAACACACAATTTGACCATTTCCATTGAACTATCCAAAAAAATATCAAGTTTCAAATAAGATGCAGTTTCTGAAGCACATTACGTGCACAGAAATTGATTTTTAACTAGCAGCAGCTCCGTATCAAGAGCAGGGCTGAAGAAATGCCAGCTTGAATCATGGAAAGCAGCAAAATAATCATCCGAAGCTATCTTGAGTACATGCTCATCAGTGAATTTTCGAGCAGCCAAAATATGCCCTGTTGAATCAACAATAAAGGACTTCTTAATCTCTGACAAGAACTCATACATCTCAAAGCTATTTCCAAATAATACAATATGATTCAGCAGTTCCAATTCCCAGTTTGCCTGTAAGAGATTGTTGTATAACTCTGCCTCACAATGTGGCATATAGAAAAGTGTTGGCTTTGTAGCCCGTCTGCGACCTTGCTCATTTACAGATAGAACAGAACAACCAAGGGATTCCAGAACCCGAGATTCCGTTGCAGAAAGAATTGGATCAAAAACCTCCACGTCCCCAATCCAATTGAACTTCCTCTTCATCAAGATTGCAAGGCTCAGCTGAAATCGAGGGGTTTCATATGATTCAATGCTGCCAATTCCATATATCACCATCGGCATCTCCAGTTCCAAGCCCAGAACCTTGTGAAAAGAATTCAGGATGTCAGGATTTTCGACTAGCTCCAAAAAGTTCTGATAGAATTGAGAGCTCTCAACTTTCTTGATACAGGTTTCCATCTTTTGTATCAACTTCAATTCTCTATCTGGATCTGATTCAAGCTCAGTAGGCACCCATGGCTGCTGTTTAGCTTCTGGAGTACTATTTCTCCGGGAACATATCCTCCTTTTACCTCGACGAGGTAACACAACTGTCCAGTCCTCATTTTTGGTGTGCTTGTCAGGAACAGGGAGTTTCGCAGAATCTGCCATTATAGAACAATGATCCTCTCTTGTCCTTGCAAAATCCTCACTTTGGCAAGTCAAGTACACCTTAGGCAAAATTATAAGCTGATCTACGGAGCAAGCAAGTGACTTGTGGGAAGCAGCAAACGCTTCCCATTCACATTTACCAAAATCTTTGTTGAAGTAATGAATGATTCAAGTAGCAAGGTATTTTACTCTCCCACCTATCAAAGTTTCAATCAAAGTGAATCAATCATCGCTGCACATCAGATCAAGCATGCGAAAGACACAAAAAGATCCCTTTTTTATGTCAAAGAGAGAGATGCCAACTATCTGGAAACGATTAAAACCTAACTAGAACCTAACAAGGAACTTTCTTTGCTCTAATTATTAATCATCAGAAACCAATTTCTTAGGTTCCCAGTTGGAATAATTACACAAAATTCACCTTCTTGTATATCTCCACCCGGCCTATAATTTCCACAAAACTCAAATAGCCTGACTCTTCGGTTCAGCACTATCAGTGTTTTAAGCTTCTTTTGGTCCCCGGCTATAGCATCAATCTTTTGCATGTAAGAAAATTATGTTCACTGTTTCACACTTAATATATTCAGCAATCTATAATGCATGCTGACTGAAGAAAATTGGATACTTTAACAGGTGTTTTACAAGGTCCAGGGCCAACTAAAATTTAGATTATTGAGCATGATAACTGAAATTAAACATGAAAAATTGAATAATCAAACAAACTCACGAGGACAAACTTCTTCTTCGACAGGGTCTCTAATTAACACAAAATTGAGACAATATTCAGTAATCACTCTTCGAAATTTACAAGATTACTTATTGGCAGATGTCAAATAAAAAAGACAGTTTCCTTTTTTGAAAGAAGTTAGAGATGGATTTCAAGAGATGGGATCTGAAAATACTTACGTGTGGCAACAGAGTGGCGATCCACCGGTGGCTGCGATGGCAGTCAACTGCGGCTGCGGCTCTTGGATTGGATATCGAATATAACGAACCTGGCCCTGCTAGTTCTTCTCTTTTACCTTCTATGTTCTTGCATTGTTTTTGTAGCGATTGTGGTCCCTGCTTCCCACTCGCCCACCAGTTATGATAGTAGAAAGAAAAAACCCAGTTTTGCCCTCTTTCTTTCTTTGGAAGTGGGGCTTATAATGGAGTTTTACCCCTTTTTTTTAAGGGTTTCCAACCATCAAAAGCTAGAGGGAAAATTACCTGGGACAAAATTTCTTACATCCTCATCTTGATTTTGCTTTTATACATGAATCGAAGAAATATTTCCCATTAGTTTGTCTGTACAGTTACTTCTGACAAAGTTAAAAATAATAATAAATCAAGCTACTTGTCATAGAACCAGGCTAAAAATTTCTTCCATCCTCATCTTGATTTTGCGTGTCTGTCACGCTGCGGGGATCAATTTATTTTTTTTAATATTGAAAAAAATGTAAGGTCTTTGTAAATTCTTTAATATCGTTTTAGATTTTTTTTTCCATCAAAATATTTTTTTATTAATATATTTCTTATCTATAAATATATATAATAAAATCTTATTTAAAATTTATTAAAACATTTAAGAATAAAAAACAATTTCAATCAAATTTTTATGAGCAATTTATTATTATTATTATTATATCAAATACACAATAATTGAAAATAACTACTAAAATTCAAATAAAAATTTATAATAATATTAAAAAACATGTTAAGATTAAAAAGTATGTGAATTTAATAAAAACAAATTGGAGTGCAAGAAATAAAAAATAAAGAGAAAAAAATAAAATAAAAAAGATAGAAAGGGATCAAGCTGTGGCACCTGGCCTCGTCCGCCCTTTGTTTTTGCTTTTAAAAATTTATAAAAACGACAAGTTGTCTGGCACCTTAATGAAAATATTGCATGCCCTGGCACTTGAACTCACAACCCCTTTCGTTAGCCATGCTTGCCAATGAACTGATTTATGACACAAAGTTAAACAGTGATCCTGTGGATTAAACAAATATATTAACTTTGTTCAAAATATGAAGCATCAAAAGAAACATCGATTATTTTAGATGTATAGTATAATTAGTTTATAGGCCTCCTCAACTATAGATCGAATAAAAAAAAATAACAAAAAAAATATTCGAGCCATGAAAAATTTATTTGATATTATTATTAATTCTAATCTAATAAGTTAATATTAAAATCTCTCAATTTAATTCATTCAAAATTATATAACATTACTCTAGTATGATCTAATTAATTTGATTCATTTAAGTAATTTTTTTATTGTTAAAAAATAATAAATAATTAAATTAAAAAAACAAAACCCTCTTAACCAGCTCATTGTCTAACCTGGTATAAAATCAAATAATGAGAAAGTTATTCCAATGTTATCCAATTAATTTTGGTGGTCTAAAGACAATTTAATTTATCATAAAAACAAATTTAAAACAATGAAATTATGTAAGGAAGTTTTTTTTAGTGTGTGTATATATATATATAATTAAGATAATATGTTTGCAAAAAAATATATAAATAAAAAATAAAACTAAAGCATTTTCTACACAGAAATGGAGAATTTATTTTCATTGGGGGACCGTACTGACACTACTAGCAAAAAGAATGAGAAGCTTTTTTAACAAAATTTAATTTTGTTTTTATGTGTTTATATTAAAATAAAATAATAAAATAATATTTTAATATAATTCAAAGGAAAAAAAACGGTGATTCAATACACCAATATCAAGTAAGCTGTTACTCCAAATCTAATAATCCACTGGTCGAGAAGAAAAGATATTTAAAAAAAAAAATCCAGAAAAGGAATTTTGATTAAATCATCCAATTTGGACGCGCAATTTTCTTTCCCGCTCCCTTCTTCTTCTTCTTCTTCTCCCCGTCAAACCCAATTTAGGGTTTTACAGTCCTTTATCCCCTTCACTCTTCACTCCACTCTCCGTTAAATCTCTCCGTTAAAAATGATGTACGGTGGTGATCCTCAGCAACAGCAACAGCAACACCACCACCACCACCAGCTGCAGCAGCAGCAGCAACAGCAACAGCAACAGCAGCAGCAGCAGCAGCAACACCTCCACCAACATATGCAACATCAGCCGCCACCTGGTAATGACTTCCACCGAGGCCCCCCGCCACCGCCAATGATGCGGCAACCCTCCGCTTCATCAACAACTCTTAGTCCTCTCGATTACCACCACCACCACCACCCTCCGCAGGCCGCCCCCGGTCCTCCTCATCCTAATTACGAAGGTAGGTAGTTAGTTACTAAGTGCATTGTGTTTTGTTTTTTCAAGTGTTTTAGGGTTTCGGAGTTCTATCTTGATTAATTTAATTAGAGTGACCAAGTTTCAATTTTAACCTAAATTTTAATTATGAACTGTTTGTTGTTGTTTTAGGTCACGGTGATGGTTATGGTGGAAAAAGGATGAGGAAGCTTACGCAAAGGAGAGCTGTTGATTATACAAGCACGGTTGTTAGGTATATTCAGGTAATGCTTGAAATTTGTGACAGCTCTTAATGTATCTAAATTGGAAGCAATGTGAATTTTGGAATTTGTTAGTGGATGTGTTTCTTACCGGATTTGGTGCTCTTTTAATTAGAATTAAATAAGTAATAGGCGCATCTATTTGTCCGTGTTAATTCCACTATCTGAATTTGTAGTTGTTTTCTTGTATATCATGCCTCAGGCTAAAAAGCTTATCCGTGTTGGTGTTGAATTCATAGTTGTACAGGAATAGTGGTTTTCATCAGGTCATACTGCTGGTCTTGACCAAGAGTTAATTTTTTTTTAATTAACGTGAGTGTCCGGGCCAGCTTGCGCGCACCTCAATTAATCCCACGGGTTCTGAAGTTAACGACCATGTAAACCTCCCGTGGCCATCATATTACAACCGCAGGGTTCGAACTTAAAACCACCGGGGGAGCTTGGTCCCAAGCTCTTACCACTGGGCTATCTACTAGATGGTTTTGACCAAGAGTTAATTGCTTGGAGAGGTGGTGGTTTCTGCACAGGAAAACATAGGAATTACACCAATAGGTTTTTGTACGCCTTTGCTAGTATTTTAGGTTTTGTGAAGGGAGTGGAATAAAAGAGTATTTGGAAGGAAAAGTTTACTCTTGACTCTGTGAAGGACTTGTGGGTTCAAACTTCACACTTCTAGCATCCTGACGTGGAAGAAACAATTGAACTTCACAGATTATGGATTTTCTGAGGTTCATATGATGCAAAGTCCATGATTTACTTGCTAGTCTCTTTTGCTTGCAAGTGGGAGGCAACCCCCTAGTGCCTGCATCAATAGATCTTTTGTTATTTGAGTTACTTGTAATCTTGTTTCAGTGTTGCTGCAGACTCGTATGTGGCAGAGGGACTCGAGGGACAGGACAATATTGCAACATACCCCAGCAGCTGCAATTGATGTTAGTGAACATGGTTTATCTATGTTCTTTATTTATGAGACATCTTGACCAAAGTGGCTGTCAGTTTAATTATCTTTGTATGTTCTAGCATGCAGATTTTCTTCATGTGTTGATCTCTGGTGCAGGTGTTGCCTACAGTTGCCTATTCTGATAATCCATCAACAAGCTTTGCTGCAAAATTTGTTCATACATCTCTAAACAAAAACCGTTGTTCAATTAATCAGGTTTTGGTAAGTCAGATTGCTAAAAAAAATCCTGATATTGTTATTTATTTGAAAAGATAAGCATGTATTTTCTCTTAGGTCGTAGTATGATCTACTCATATTGTTCTATTATGGACCATCCAGTGAAATTATGTTTCTTTTGAAGTTTGAAGTCAATTTGCTTTGGTTTTTATGAAAGGGAATACCACATTTGATTATTACCTGAGCTGAATTTATCGTCCATATTTTTTCCCTGTTAAACATGTTTCAGGTTCAGAGTCAGATGAAACTGCAATTCATTCAATGGGTTATCAATCTTAGTTTTTATTTGTCTGAGGTTTCAAATATATAATTGTATATTGTGAAAAATGACTTACACTGAATTATTCTTCTTTGCTGTTACAAGGCCTTAGACATGTTTCATTCTGATAGCATCAAATGTTAGGCCTTTCATTGTGTCAATATGAGTGGAAAAAAGAAATTGTTGCTGGATGTGTATATTGCCTGTTGAAACAAATCAAGTTAGATGAAGACTGGCGATCCATGTTGTTTCCCACAAACTGAACCATCTTACCATCTTTAATTTATCTACTAGTTAGCTCTTTGAGACCTCAGTCTACAGTTTGTGTGACAGTGTAGAAAGTTGTTGATTTCTAAGCAGTAGCCTCCAATTCCTATTTGGCAGAGCAGATAACTTCATTTGCTTAGTATAGAAAAAGTGGTGTGCGTGCACCTGCACACCGGCATATACATGCAATGAGTTTACATGCATGCTACCTATTGTGGGATCAGTTTAAATGCCATTCGTTTCTTGCTTGGTCCAAATTTATTGTAACTTAACAATTGCCTAGCCATTTTCCCTTCTTAATGGTAGAAAACATATGGATTCTTTCTTTTGGGATTCATCACATCTGATGTTTCTTTAATGATGTTATCAAACATATTCTGATCCTTTTCTTCATATATAGTGGACTCCAAATGGGAGACGTCTAATCACAGGTTCTCAAAGTGGGGAATTCACCCTGTGGAATGGACAGTCATTTAATTTTGAAATGATTCTTCAGGTGTGTGGTTATGGACTTTTAATTTTGGTTTTTAACTAGGAAAGGAGCAAGATTGATGATTTTTGTGGAGTTTTTTTATGTGCAGGCTCATGATCAAGCAATCAGGTCTATGGTATGGAGCCACAATGACAATTGGATGGTCTCCGGTGATGATGGTGGTGCAATTAAGTAATTCCCATATGTTCTTCATTGTTCCTATGGCTTTGTTGCTATTATATTTGTATATTTATTGTTCATCTAATGTTGTTTAATACTGCTTTAGGTATTGGCAGAGCAACATGAATAATGTTAAGGCCAATAAATCTGCTCATAAAGAATCAGTGCGAGGCTTAAGGTAGAATTTTGCTTCATATTTTTCTTCCTTTTCCGTTTTTTCCCCCTCATGTTGGTGAAGATCTTATTGTAAACCTCTTGAACAGTTTCTGTAGGACAGATTTGAAGTTCTGTTCCTGCTCTGATGACACTACTGTTAAAGTTTGGGACTTTGCCCGGTGTCATGAAGAGCGTTCATTAACGGGTAATGTGATTTTGGTCAATGAACATATGATATTAAGTTTGTGGTGCCAATTTTGGGTGGTTTCTTCTTTAATAGAGCTATCTTATATACCCTTTGGGAGGAGGGTTGGCCCATTATTAATAATACTGAATGGGATGATCCTTCTTCCATTCACCTGAATAAGTTGAAGTAATGTTTCTTTAAGATTGCTTGATATGATGCCATACTTTTAGTCAGAAAAGTTGACCTTGAAAGAAGAATATTGAAATATGCAATGGGCCCAAAACCCCTTCTCAGTTATTTTCTTCTGCAAAAGATAGTTTAGACACTAATGCAAGGAACATTTATGGTTTGCTTCCTCATCTTGTCTTATTGCTTATTTGGACGGAGAGAAATAAAAGGTTTTCAAGGTGAGAACACTTCCATTTGTGGCCTAGAGATATCTGCTTAAATATTTTATGATATTAGGATGGATGCAATTACTAGTTCTCTCCCTCTCTGACTTGCAAACATTAGCTGGTGGATAACATGTTTTTGGCTTCCGTGGTATACTTCTATTATACAGGGGGTGATGCCCCTGTTTTGGTACATGGATTAGTGTACACCCCTCCAAACGGTCTTATTGCATAGATTACTGTCTGTGTGCTGTGCTCATAATATTTGCACTGAGTGATCTAAAGAGTTTTCCCTGCATCATTTTGAACTCAGGCAGGCCATGGTTGGGATGTGAAGAGTGTTGATTGGCACCCTACAAAATCTCTACTAGTGTCAGGTCTGCCCTAAATTCATTTTGGAACATCATGATCTCTTTCTAAGTTGACATTGTTGTGCTTGATGCTGCGAATTGACTTTTTTTTTAGGTGGGAAAGACAATCTAGTAAAACTCTGGGATGCTAAATCTGGAAAAGAGCTTTGCTCATTGTGAGTACAAATTTGCTTGGTCTTTAGGCTCAAGTTTGGCTTAGAATTTATGTTTATAAATTTCACAAGCTGGGCTTGGATTTTGCAGTCATGGCCACAAAAATACTGTGCTTTGTGTCAAATGGAACCAAAATGGTAACTGGGTGCTGACTGCTTCAAAAGATCAAATTATCAAGGTTTGCAAATTCTCTCTCACCAAAGCCCTCATTTATGAAAGGTTAGGGCTTGAATGTTGATTCCGGTTTACCTTGTCTGTTTTGTAATTTTTGCATCTTTGCAGCTTTATGATATAAGGGCAATGAAGGAGCTTGAATCTTTCCGTGGGCATCGGAAGGACGTGACTGGTTAGTAACACTTTTCACCTATGCAAACTGTACGAGAATAAAATTTAGTTGTATAATGCTCTGCTGTTGATTGTAAAGCTATGGGAGTAAGTTGCTTTTATATATTATGCTCATTGTTGGGTGAGCCTTTATTAAAATTGCTAGCATGCTTGTTTTAATTTTTAACTTTTCTGTACTGTGATTCATATACGAGGATATACTTATCTTAAAAATGCTCTCATCCCTTTCTAGCATTGGCTTGGCATCCATTCCATGAAGAGTACTTCGTCAGTGGGAGTTACGACGGATCCATTTTCCATTGGCTTGTGGGGTAATGTTGTTATCTCAAATAGAACTATATGTATTTTTTTGCTGTTAAATTATTCTGCAACTTCTACCTGAAGTTCTCATCATTTTATGCATCAGTTGATTGGATGTTATGTGGTTTTTAATATATTTTTCATTAAAATGTTTGCAATGCATGGAAAATCTATTCCAAGGAAATGAGTAGATGGAGGCTGAAGAGAGTTCATATATATAATTTTAAAGTATACAGTGGAAGGGGATGCACAGAGTCCTCCAAACAATTTTTTGATTTTTTGTTGACTCATTGCTCAGGGAAAACTATAAGAAAACAAGAAAATAGATTTTAAGATTTCTTCTTTGCAGAATTTCTCTTTTGCAAAATTCTTCATTGTTTTGGATGGTGGATTACTGAAAAAAGTCAATCTTTTGTTCCTATTTCCTTTTTCTGTCTGTTTAAATTGATTCTATTTTCTTGTTTGATGCTATTTGTGCTGTTTGCTTCACTTGTGGAAGTAATCTCATAAAGTGTTTGTATCTTATGACTGATGCATAGGCATGAAACCCCTCAGATTGAAGTTTCCAGTGCTCATGATAATAGTGTTTGGGATCTTGCATGGCATCCAATCGGATATCTTCTTTGCAGGTAAATGCTTTAAATTCAAGTTCATTGATCCTGGGATGTTAACTGGTATTTAGTTTTCCTAACCTTTTGAGCTGATATTCGAATAAGTTACCTTTCTTGAATTTCATTGCTTGGAATATTGAATGTGGTTCAGTATAGTTAGTTACTGCAGTTTTACCTTTTTCTATTTATACTTAAGTTGCCTTGTCCTGTTTCTTGTTCTATTTCTTGGTAAGTTGGTGTGTAACCCAGTTAAAGAGCAACGTGAGTGGCTCAAATCAATGGTATTTCAATTTGCACATCTAAAAGACTTTATTATCTGAAACTGCTTCACAAGTTGCTCTCCACTTGGGCCATTAATATATAAAACAGATGTACAGGCTGCCTTTGAAGCATGGAAAACTTGAAAATTCCAAGGAATCAAATTTTTTCAAAGCAAAATGTGTAAGATGGTATAAATCTTTTTTGCTTATTTTTGCTGTTCTTCTTCTGGGCCGTTTGAGGAGTTTCGATATTCTCTGGGGTTGGAAACCCTTTTTGTCAATATTTTTATTTGGAAAGATGCTGATTTTCAATCTCGTGCTGAGCCTTGCACGCTCTGAATTTTTTCAATGAAAAAGGGAGGGAGAATTCTTGGTTGTGCTAAATGAGTGCTTGGCTCTAGCAACTTAAAGAATTTTGCTTGCATGAAAGATTTGAATGTCAAATAATAGTATTTCAATGATCTGGTGAAGGACTAAAAAAAAATGACATGATTAAATTCTTTGTCATCCTAACCTATAACCCTTTTATAAGGTGTTTCTTTCTCTTCAGTTACCAAATCCGCATAATTTTTTCTGCAGTGGTAGCAATGATCACACGACAAAGTTTTGGTGCCGAAATAGGCCAGGAGGCACTGCCCGTGATAAATTTAACATGGGTCAAAACCAAGGTTAGGCTTTACAAACTGATGAAGCTGAAAATTGGCTTAATTGACATTCTGTATTAAATCCAATAATGTGTTGCATCGGCCAGAAAATCTGTGTATGTTTCAAAAATTTTAAGCTACAATATTTTCCATGATGTTATGATTAGTATACAAAATCATATTTTACTGATTAATTTTCTAACCATTACTATCTTCTACCAGGTTATGGTGAACAGAATCCTGCCCTTGGTGGCCGCTTCCCTGGCAATTTCCATGTACCTGAACCACCGACAACTCCAGGACCATTTGCTCCTGGACTGACTCGAAATGAAGGAACTATTCCAGGTGTTGGAGCTGCAATGCCACTATCGATTCAATCTATTGATGCATCCCAGGGAGAGCAGAAGCAGCCTCTTCCTATTTCTATGCCCTTTGGAGCACCTCCTCTTCCTCCTGGTCCGCACCCGTCGCTACTTGTTGCTAATCAGCAGCAGGGATATCAACAAAATCCACAGCAGATGCCACAACAGCAACACCAACCACACCCTCAGCACATGCCTTCTTTGCCTATGCCGCCTCCAAATATGCAACAGCTACAGCCTCCATCCCATGTGCCCCTGCTCCCTCATCTGCATCTACCCCGCCCTCCACAAATGCCCCCTCATGGCATGCCTTCACCAATCCCATCTTCCATGCCCGGATCTTTACCTTCATCACTGCCTGGTGCAATGGTATGATATAGTGCTCCATTCAGTTTTTTTAATTTCCCTAGTCCATCCAGTCTTTCTCACTTTATTTCCAAATGTTGGAATTTTGTGCATATCTTAAAAAGGACTCTCTATTAATTTCTTTGCATTGTTGAAAATGCAAAGCTCCCTGGCAACCTTTTAGAAACACAAGTGGTGGTTGAAAGGATATGGTGTCGCTTAAAATAGATTTTGAAACTCTAATTTCTAGCTATATCCATTCAGCACTTTCCTTAGTGAGATGTATTTTGAATGTTAGATTTTGCTCCTTTTTTATTTTTTTCCCTTTCTAGGGGATGCAAGGGACAATGAATCAGATGGTACCTTCATTACAACAAGGCCATTTTATGGGCATGAATCCATTGCATGCAGGATCCTTACCCACTAGTGCCGCCCCTCCAGTTGGTGGGGGTTTTCCAAATGGCCTGCCAAATATGCAGGGCCCATCAAATGCAAGTGGGGGCCAAATTTATTCACAGGGTGGTCCATTCAACCGTCCACAAGGAGGACAGATGCCAATGATGCCTGGGTTTAATCCTTACCAGGTAAGATAGACATCACTTTGTTAGGTTATGAACGATGTACCCTCCCCATGTTTGCACAAAAAAAATGCCAGTACTGTCAGTGTAAATTAATGGTATTTTGTAATTTGTTGTTGGCATTTCAGGTTCCATAGACAATTTAAACAACGTACTTGAACATCCATGAAATGGAAATGACTATTTAAAATATCAATTAGAAAAGTTCTACCGAGGATTACTGAATTCTTAATCTATATTCTAGCTATTCTGATGCTCTAGTGCACAAACCTTCTTAATCCAAAACATCTTTTTATTCCTTCCATCCCATATTATGGTAAAAATAAGCATGGAAGGCTCTTTTTATTCCTTCTTCCATCCTATATTATGGTAAAAATAAGCATGGAAGGCTAGCAACCATTTGTTTGAGGTAGGTTCTTTCCCGAGGTTAACATTTTCTTTTAGGTTGACTTTGTCAAAATATTTTATGTGTAGCATCATTATGGTGTAGTGTGCTTATGGTGTAGTGTGCTTACTTTAAAGGTTGACTTCCGTGACAAATAGTATCATTGGCAAAACTGAACCAAACTCTCCAAAACGTGTTACTTAGATTACTATGATCAGTAGAGTAGAGAGATGCAAAATTGTCATTGAGATAATTCTCTTATTGCAGTCTACAGTTTTGGACCATGCAAAATTTCTAGAGTTCTAGTGACCTATGCAATTTAATTAAAATACGAGGAGGGAAACTTTGATGTAAGCATGCATAATTTTATTTGCAATTTGGGTTGCATGTATCATTTTTCATGTCCCTTGCGAGTATTGAAGATGATACTGTCAGGACAGAATTCTACATGTTACTAGTTTCTGAGTGGGATTGTGTCTGCAACATTTATGTTTGTTCAAGAAAAAACTAACGTGTGTTAAATCGTAATTGCAGTCTGGGAATCAATCTGGTATGCCTCCACCACTACCACCTGGTCCACCACCACATTCACAGACACCTCAGTAGAACCATTGTTCCATCATGGAAGGTCAGCTGCCTAGGACTCAAAGAAGAGAGAATGCTTTTGCTGCTTGTGCTCATACTAACAACTCAACTTAAAAGTCGCGGTTCGGTGCCTCTGCTAATTTTCGTTTTACCTTGTAGTCATGTTTAGTGCTTTACACTGAATATCCTTCTGCCCCATTCCCGATTGGCGATACAAGATTGTACAAGTAGGCCTCATGTTTATACTTTTATTATTACTCTTAACTGAATATCTTTTTGCCTTGTGGTTCACTCTGATTACTGTTGGTGATTGTTTTCATTGTTGTTGGATTCGTCTCTTCAATATCTTTTTAATGATACTGATTGGTGTCATTATCAGATTTTTATGTGTTTTCAGTCTTTTCTTTTCTCCTTATTTTTCTCTCCTTGTTTAATCTCATGTCCATCAAATTTTTAATTTGAAAGCCATGGATAATACTTGCGACTCACGAATCATAAATTTTTTATAGGACTCTAATTTAAGTTGTGTTATATTTTTATAAGTTGTGTTATTTTTTAAAATAGTTTTTATATTATTATTTTATCATATAATTTTTTTACTACACGAGAAACCAAAAAATCTCGTGGGATGTGAGGTTGGTATCCATCTCTTATACACGTGGTCTGCTGCCTATGAAAGTCTTGTCCTACAAGAATTTTAGGTTTTAATCATGAAAAAAATAAAAACTTCAAAGAATAATGATAATATTAGATGATATAATATTTAATAAATTAAGATTGAATAATAAAACTGAAAATAAATAATTTTTTTTTGAAAGAGTTAAAGAGAAAAATTAAAAGAATTAGGATTGAAGTTAAAATAAAAATAACTAAAAAGACTAAGATATAATTTTTTAAGGAAGAGAAAGAAAATGAGAAAAATAAAAAAGATTTACTGGCACCAAACCATATTTATTGATGACATGTCGCACTAGTGAAAAGAAAATATGATGATACTTCTAACGATACACTAAAAAAGTATTTTTTAATACTAGAAAGTGTCACATGCATGTTTATTTTTTTTATTTTTTTTTCTTAACTAGATATAAAAATACTGACTTTATAATTATAAAAAACTGCAGAGGAAAAACTAAAATACCCCTTAACCTAGGTTTTTTTTTTTTACTTTAAAGGTAGTTTTGTCATGCATTTTAATTGTTTATTATTTTTCTATATTAAAAAATATCAAATTACCTCTCAAATTAAATTATAATAACCAAAAAATCATCGTGAAATTATAAAAATACTCATTGACACCATATTTAAATGTGCTTGCTTTCAAAGATATTGTAGTCATTTTATAATGCAATTAAGATGAGAAAAATACTTATTTGTCCTCGTTTTATTTTGGAATGACAAGTGAATCATATGAAAAAACTTAAATATCTCTGAAAACTAGTGTTAGGTTTTATGGATGGAGGAGAAAAAAAGTCTTTATAATATTCTAATAAACAATGTTTTTAGGTGTCCAAGATATTTTAGGTTCTTACTAAATATGTTGTGCGCGCTTCATGATAGGTCAAGCTAATTTTTTCTATGTGAAAAAAGTGCAAGGCTAAAAGAAATCCAAATCTTAAATCATTGTTTCAAGTAGTAATTTAAATGATACAAAAACAATAACAATAAATAAACTGGAAAAAAAAAAACCACACTTGAACCTATTCGAATTATTAAACAACCCAATATTAATCTAATTGAAGTAAAACCATAAAGAGAGTAAAACTTGAAAAAAAAACAAGAGTAGAAAACATTAGCTTAAAAAACAAGAAAAAAAATCAAGAAAACTCGGGCGAACCTCCTAAATCTATTCTAATATAAAAATCTTAGACCCGAGTTTAATCAAGAAGTTTAAATTTTATCCAATTTAACTTTAAAAAAAGGAATCATTGAAAAAATATCAATAAAAAAATTGCAAAAAAAAGAAAAGAATAAGTATAAGATTTGAGAGAAAAACACCCAAGGAGTATGAAATTTGAAAAAACAAAATGATCCTAAACAAACTAAATAGTAGTTAAAAGAATGAATATTAAATTTGAAAGATTAAAAAATTATAAGAGGTAAAACTAAAAAACATTTATAATTTGAAATTGAAAAAAATAGCAGGAGATGAAATTAAAAAAATTCATAGAGTGTGAACCCAATAGAAAAATCCTAAACAAATAAGAGAAAACTCTTAAAAAAATAAAAATAAAAATAAAAATAAGAAAACATAAGCGCAAAAATAGGGAAGAAAAACCAAGCAAATCACCTTCCAAACCTGGTGTAATATCTAAAACAAGTATCTTGTAAAATCTTGAACCTATGTTTTATCAAGAAACTTAACTCTCAATAAATTTATTTTTGAAGGATAAAATTAAAAAATATATATTTATAAAAAAAACCTACAAAGGAAAAAAATAGCAACAAAAACAATAAATATAAAATTTGATATAAAAAACCCAAGGAGGATGAAATTTAAAAATAATAAAAATGATTCCAAAAAAATAAATTATAATTAAAAAAATTATAATCAAATTTGAACGATTTAAAAATCATATGGGGTGAAATTGAAAATCATTTATAATATGACAGATTATTTATAAATTAAGAAATTATTGGGGTGAAATAAATTATTTTTTTTTATAGAGGGCTAACATAATAGAATCAAACAAAAAAAAGAGGATAAAAAATAGCAAAACATTAGTTTCAAAAAGAAAAGATAGAAAACCAAACAAACTTGATAAATTTGTTAAACCTGATCTAATCTCTAAAAGTTACATTCTTGTGAAGTGTTTGACCCAAATTTAATTCAGAAGTTTAATTCTTAACCAATTTAATTTTAAAGGAAGAGATCAATAAAAAAAATATTAATAAAAAAACCTTGCAAAAAAATAAAATAAAAAATAAGCTCAAACAAAACAAATAACAATTAAAAGAATTATCACCAACTTTTAAAGACTAAAAAAAAATCATAAGATGTGAAATTAAAAAATATTTATAAAAACCAAGTAAACTTGAACAATCATCTTAAACCTAGTCATATCTTAAAATCTCGCAATAAAAGTTGCAACAATGTTTTTGTTTTCAATTATATTCATTAAAAATAATTTACAACAATGCATTTTAGTACCCTTGAAATTCATAATAAAATCAAAATATAATGATAAAAAAAAAAAAAAAAATCTTGGGTGAGAGTTCAATTGGTTTCATCTTTAAAGGTATAAAAGTAATCACACTGCTATATAAAAAATACAAATACAAAATTGCCCTCAAATAGCAAACATTGAATTATTTTATTCAAAGGTTAAAAAAATAATTTGACCGTACATTTAAAAACCAAAATCACCAACATAACCCAACACATCTGACAAAAGATGACTTGGTTAATTTCAATACCAAGTTAAAAGAAGTACGGGTCCATAGGAAAAATAGTAATTACATCATTGTAGTAAATAGCAAACTGTATCCTGAGATATAGTAACTTCACTCAGAGACTTAGTTTTTTTTTTTTTTTCTAATGATGATTTCCTACTCTATCAGAGTTTATAGTATTGTTTTTCATGATAATGCTTCATTATATATTTGTAAAAGAAAGTATTGCTTGATTAATAAAGAATCAGGTTACAAACATCCCGGCTAGAAGATTAATCCGGCAAAGGCCAAATCAAGTAATATTTTTTTTTCAAAGGATCAAACTTTAGAATATTATTTTGGAAGAGAGAAAAGGAATTATATGACACCAAACATAAAATTACAAGACACGGAGCTATCGATCCCATTAACAAATATGCTTAGAGAACACAAAATTTAATAACACTGAATTTGAGGTTTTAACAAGATTGGAATATGCATTCCCTCTATGGACGACAGACAATCTGTATAGTATTTTGCTTATGAATTTACAAGGCAGCTGTTTGATTTCGAAGTCAGCAACCTACTTACAAAAAATTTACATAGCCCCTTACGACCTTTCAACACTCCCCTCAAAAAAAATAAAAATAAAAAAATAATAATATTAGAGGAAGAGAGAATATGGACACACTTACGGGAAGAAATTGAAAGTGGAAGAAACGAGATCTGAGGGAGAAAAAATTTCCACCCACCTCCACCCTCTAAAGAACAAAATTGGCTTCCTCCAAATTCCAATCTGGACTAGAAATTTATATCCAATTTCTGATCTTGCAGCAAAGAATTAGCATTTGGCAAAACACTAGTCAAGTTGCATATTAGATGTTGCGGGTCAATGGGCTAACCCTTCCCTCCCCACACTAACAAGAGACCTCTCACCCATGGGAACATTGTATTGCTGATATAATCTGGCTCTGTTGGATGCCCACCATTGTTCTGCTTGTTTTTCGCTGAAACGCTTTCGACTGCAGTAAAAGTAGTTCAACATGCAATAGCATAAGGTTTCCAATAAAGAAGATAGAAATTACTAATTTATAAAATCTTAGATCTTCACTTGGATGCTTCCACCCGGAGGATGGAACCTTTAGAGAACAAGTACTAGAGGCAGTACAGAAACCTGTATGGTCCAAACTCATATACTAGCAAAATATGAACCTAAAAGCAGCCAGGAACTTTACCACCTTAGTTATGGCCAAAGCTAATAATGGCTGCATTCCACTGAGAGAAAATATCATGGGTCAAGCAGTCAACTTGTTGTAACAGAGGGGAGAAACAAAGTGATCATAGAAGGTGGACAGGTAAGGGAGAAGTGGAGGAGAACAAGTGTAATGACTTGAGAATACCTGAAACGGACACGCTTGAGATCTTTGGAACCTCCAGGCAAGGAAACAAGGGTAATATATACACCTGGTTCATCCTGCTCAACCCATTCGTCGCCATTAGTGGGTTCAACTTTTGCCGTTCTGTTCTTATTCCTTAGTGTTGCATCTATGTGTGCCACTTCAGAGTGATGTGGAGTTTGATTAGTGGTGGGTGCTGACACATTCGAAACTACCAAACTGTTTGATCCGTTTGAATCTTGTTCATGACATATTCTGGGACCCCTGAGTTGCTCAAGAACTCCAGGAGAAACAGCTCGTAGAGGAGTGTTGCTAGAGTAATAAAACGAGGGCGAATTGTTGTTTCTTGCTGCTCCAACAGGAACTCTCTCAGCCACGTCTTTCAACTATATTGAAAAGATTAAACACATAAATTAAGATGATTGTCTGATATATTAAGAAAACCTACAAATTTTTAGTTTTTTGACACAGTGCAGCTATAAGCACCCTGTTGATTGCTTCCATACTGCAAAAACAACATTTCCAGATGGAGTTTATGTTGACCTTACCTATTTAGTATGGTTCATGCAATTTTATTTTACTAGCTTTTATTTTACATGCTTAGCATGTGATTTGCATTGTCTTCCTATTTAGATGAGTGAGGTGCTGATATAAGGAGTGCGTGGCTACAAAATAGTCGGAAAGATATGATCAATAAATTATTTGATTCCTAAATCATTAATAGTTTTGAATAAAATTAAAAATATTTAGCTATTAAGTGAGAACACAATGTTTATAGTTATTAGAATGAGATTGAAAATTTTTACTCAATAATTGATGCAATAAAATATATTATATTCTATAATTTCATAATTATAAACGAAGAAAATAATTTTCTATCTACTTCATCTTTTAATAACTTCCTTCCTTTGTTCTTAACTAAATTCAATAGCAAACCATTAAAATTTTTTGTTAACCTATTATTGAAAGAATCTTGCATTATTAATTAATCTGACAATATTATCCATTAATATTAAAGAAAATGTCTAAGGTATTATGCATATGCAATTACAATAATTTTCTTATATCTATATAGAATGAGACTAATAGCAAACATAGTATAAGAGTATATCCTTAAACAATTCTTAAATTTTTGGTATAATAACGAAAATTATAAATACACTTAAATGACATTTCTCATCCTTGAATTCCAATAGTTCAATCATATATAGCCTATATTCAAAAAATCCCATTGAACCTTGCACTATAAAAAATTACAATTGAACTCTTCATATATCAAAATGTTTTTAAATTCACCTCCTATTCAACTCCATTAAAAATCTCAACTAAAATTTGAATTTTAAATTGAAGCATAGACACATGTTACTTCTCACTCTTCTCTTGAAAATCACTTGGTATTTTGTACTTATTTTTCATTGCTTAAATATTTTCTTAATGTTGAGTGGTAGTTTGACAAAGATAATCAATGTCCAAATTATTTTTCAAAAAAAGTGATAGGTATAATATCATAATCACTTATATTATAATATTTGCAAGTCAATCAATTTGCTCATATTAAATGTCCTTGTTCAAATATTTTTTATCTCCAAATAATATGAATTTATAAGATAATGATTTGTTGACACTTTGTCTACAAGTTTATTAAGTTATTTATATAACAATAGAGTATTCTAGTTGAAATATGAGAATACATGCAATTTTGTTAACTAAATCATTGATCATGATGCTAGTTTTTTCTATTCCGAGAAGATTATTAAAAGCTTCCTATAAATAATGAACATTATAACCTACAAACATGAAATATGATTTCTATTAATTTGTTATTAATTGAACTTGACATTTTAAAAAATAACGCAAGGCTCAATCATCCATTTTTTAACTTGAATTTGTTATGATATTAATTAGACCTCCAAAATAATTGATCCATTGTGTTAGGACACAAGCCTGGCAAAAGATTAAAAAAAGGTATAATTAGATGAATTATGGTACTATCCATTTTTTAAATTGGAATTTGTTTTGATATGAATTATACCTCCAAATTAATTGATCCATTGTGTTAGGCACACAAGGCATCAAAAGATTAGAAAACAAAGAGCAAAATTAGTTGAATTATGGTCCAAGAATAACGCATAAACAATTCCAAGAGATTCCAAAATACATTCATATGATACCAAAAGCATTGTGCAAGTATTGTCCTCTAATCCTACTTTTTGAAATTCAAAACAAACTTTGCTCATATCAGATCTAGCACCTTTGTATTGAAATGCAGAATACCTTATATTTTGTGAGAGTGCACATTGCTAGACTCTCATGCCCTTAAAAAAAGTTATCTCCACCAAGGACTATGAGGTTATAAACATGAGGTTTTAACTTACTTGGGCAGTGAGTGACTTAATTACTTCCTTTGCTGCCTTGCATTTTGCAGCCTCCTCCTCTGCTACTGCAGCAGCCTCCTTTAACTTACTGGTTGTTCTTTCCAGCTCAACTTCCTGAAGCTGAGCTTTATGTGTAAGTTCTTCGACCTGCATTACACAACCAGTCAGCCATAATTAATCAATGACGTGACCTAAGCAAAGTGCTTTACAGGCACAATAATATGGCCAGAAGAAAATCACTAAAGTCACTTATATTTGTTTCATTATGACCATGCAGCTCTAAACTGGATCTTAATCCAACCATGTCATTAACCACAGTAACAATGACGATGAGAGGTTTTGAAATTAGACCTATCACCAGCACAGATCTTTGTCTCCATGTTAATTATAACATACAGTATTGCAAAACAACTTCGTCCATCTCCACCCAGGGAAAATAAAATCCTAAAGAAGCAAGCGTAAGAAACTCATAATAAACTATAACCAAAGGATAAAAAGGAGACTCTCAATACAGCAACAAAAGGATTCGAACCATAGAAAAGACAGTTTTTTTTTTTGGTTGTTTAAAAAGGAGACAATATATTTTATAATTTCATGCAGCAAGATACCACACGATGTATACACTTCTGATCTTTGCAAAAATGTTTGTGATGGTAAATGTTCAGCCACTGACAATAAATTCCTAGGATAATGTGTGAGGGAATGGGCATACCTAATGTTGCTCAAAACAGGAAATTTTAGGAATAGATAACTGAAACCATAGAGGGTAGTTATGTCTACCTGAGCTCTTAATTTTACAACTTCTTCATGCAGGCTGTCATTTAACCTTCCAGTACCATCCACGGCAACTTTCGGCAACTCATGCACTGAGAGAGTTGGGGTTGGTGTTGTAGCGCAAGGGGGACTAGATCGCCTTGATGTTGGAGATGTTGCTCGAGACATCATTCTTGATCCAGGAACAGAAGCTGAGAAAAATTTCTTGGAGGATCCAAATGATTTAGAGTTGTTAAATGCATTTCGCTGAGAAACATCATAAGCAGAGGGTGAAACCTGAGTGCTAATGGAGCTTGACTTCCTGTTTCTTCTGGAAGACATACTTTCCACCTCTTTAGATGATTCCATAGAGAAGTTTCTTCCAAGCTTAGCATGTGATCTTGTATTCGAATTTTCACTCTTTTCTGTGACTTCATTTAGTCCCTGACTCTCACTTCCTCTTCTACTAAGAGTAGAGTGAACTGACAAGTCAGTTCCGGTGCTTCTTCTAATTTTGCTAAAACAATAATCACAGACACGGTAAGGTTTGTTAGGATTTGGAGCCATTGAAGCCTTGAGAGACTTTTTATTACTACATGAATGGCAGAAAACAAGCCCACAATTATAACAATTGTGCCGTTTCCGTTTGAAATTAAATGGGAGGTGGCAACCCGAACACATTGATTGATCGATACCGGATACCCATTTATGAAGACAGATAGCTGCAGTAAAACTAGTGCCGCAGACAATACCTTTAACCTGTTTGTCTTTCAAAGCTTCAACTACAGATGGGGAATTTCTATCATCTGCATCACCATGACCTAGCCTGCCATTTGCACCCTTTCCCCATGTGTAAACTTCAGTTCTTGAGGTCAAAACTGCAACATGATAAGCACCACAGGCTAATTCTTCAACAAAATTTTTCATGAGCTTTCCCTCAACACGAGTAGGGACCTTGCCATCCGCTTGAGGATTTCCCAGTTGACCATATACAGGGCTTCCCATGGTGTAAACTTGGCCCGAGGTTGTAAGAGCAACAGTGAGGCTGTGACCACAGGCAACTTGACAGAAGTTGGGTTCAACAAGAGTAGCAACACAAGTGGGCACTAGTCTAGCTTCCTTATCACCATGCCCAAGACGACCTTTATCTCCATCTCCCCACGTGAAGAGTTTTCCTGAAGAACAATTACTGGAACTTGATGACCCAACCATGATTTCAACAACTGCAGCTGTGTGCCACACACCACAAGCTACTCGCATGGTGCGGAGGCCCTTAAGGGACTCGACCTCCCTGGGTGTTGACACGCTACTTCGGTCTCCATGTCCTAAAACCCCAAAGGTTCCATCTCCAAATGTAAACAATTGGCCAGCAGAGGTTACAACAGCTGTGTGCCATGGTCCACATGAAACTGATGAGACATGTATTCCCTCTAGAGGTCCACTTAACTTTCTTGGAACCCACTGAGTAGCTTCACTTCCACATCCCAAAAGTCCAAAATTATAAGCATTACCACCCCAAATGTACAAATCACCAGAAAGTGTTACTGCACAAGAATGATATTCTCCACATGCTACAAGTTCAACATTGAAATTTTTTAGTCCATCTACAAACTTTGGATGTGAAACATCAGAGTCTACACCATGTCCAAGTCTGCCTCCTAGTTCCTCTCCCCAAGAGAAAACCTCCCCTTGTTTTGTTACCAAAGCAGCATGTTGCCGACCACAAGCTATAGCCTGAACATCTAGTAAAACTGCAGATCAATAGAACTGCGGATTCCAAGGCTTTTGGCACAAAAGAATCCATCTGAGTATTGGAACCTCCAATTTTATGAACTCCGCCACCTAGAAAGCCCTCACCAGTGCCTTCACCCCAAATATAAACATCCCCTAAAGCATCATTGTCATCACGGCCAGAGCCTTGACTTGATGAACTAACAGCACTTGATAAACTGACCCTAAAAGCTTCCGTGTTTGTATTCTTCATACGACCTGTTGTTTCATCTGAGCCTGGCCCACAGGCAGATTCTAACGGAAATAAAACCTTGGGAGGCACAGTGCATGCTGCATCAGACAATGCCTTCTCTAAACCAGCTTTAGGAGGACTATCATATGGAGTATGAAGACGAAGAGGATCTGTTCCATCCTATATCAGTGACAAGAAAATTCTCTTTAACGTGCATAGCACTGAAACATACTTTTGAGAATGAAGAAGCAACGAAACATACCTTCATTGAACTATCATCACTACCAATTGCAAAGCTCAAAGGAGAACTTCTAAGGGTGTATGCTCTAGGACTATTTGCCTCAGATAAAAGTCCATCACTTCTAGTTTCTTCTCTCTTTTTCCAAAGCTGGTGATGTGATATTAGTGCCTTTAGACCAGTAAACCAGACTTCAGCTTCTTCTTTGTCCTTGCATATCTGGCAAAACAGGGCTTGATGAGTGGATGATGAAATTTTTCAGCTAATACGGGGCTTGGTACATTACTTAAAGGAACAGCGACTATGCAAATACAGAAGATGGACTCTAAAGATTTTTTAACATGGCATAACTTTGTTGACAAAGGATGAAGAACTGGCCTTTAAAAAGAATATACATACCAAATCTAAAGACCTGTCATTATAAATTAGAGAAAATGACTGGTATTCCTTCTCAGGACGAGGATACCTCTGAAAAATTGGCTGTAGTAAGCAAAATTGAGAACAATCAGTAAGTAATCATTGTTCCAATAAATGAACATAGAATCTTAAAAGTAATTGAAAAACTACCCGACACTTGCAAGCAAAGTTTTCATGTTTTCTCAAGGGGAAAGAAAGAATAAAGCAAAAACCATAATCATCAGAAGCAGACAACAAACATGCAGCACAACATAAGATAAATAATCACAAATAAATGAATTAATTTACAAGCATAGATTCACTGCACCTTGTGGTTTTATTGTTAGCTCCAATGTTCAAGGTAAATCTAGAAAACATTGCAAAATGAAGTGTCCATCAAAAACCATTTTTTCTATATAAACCAAATAGTCACCGAGCCTCTTCCTAGGAATAAACAGTACAGCTTTTGAAAGCTAGAAGACAGTAGATGCACACAGACACATTGCTTCAGAGCAAATCTAAAATAGAAGTTTCAAATGTCAATAGACAATATCCTTGCAATTTCGTTTCCATTAATTCACATAAAAATGGATAGCTTCATTCATTGAAACTTCACATTTATGAGCATGCATCCCTGATCTGGTGAAGTGTAAAGTAGCAGTATCAACATGCAAGGGCAGCTGGAGCTCAACCATTTTGAAAACCCAAGTTACTCACACTACTAACACGCTAGATGCTTAAAAATAAGAAAGAAAATAATTTAAACTGACTATTAACTTGAAAAAAGAAAACCCAAAACTGATCTGCTGCAAAATCATGAAGAGCAATCCGTAAGCAACATACAAAAGTTGTACAGGATCTCAATATGGATAAACTTACAGTGCGCTGACCAGGGATAATTCTGGAGACATGGCTTAGTTTAAGATCCTTCACCTCTTTCCCAGATATCCATATTAGAGCAGATTCATCCTGAAAGAACCAAAACCAAAGGCATACATATTACAGCATACAGAATTTTAATAGAGGTGAATTACGGCAAAGCTCAATAGTCAATATCCTACAGCATCAAAACATGACATAACCGAAACAGCACATTTACATAAATTACCAGAAGTAGCATGTAAAAAGCTTATAATCTAGAAATGGCAAAAAATAAAAAAAAATTAAAGGACCAACTGTCTTGCAGCATTAAAATGCAGCACCTACAAAAGCACATGATAGGACTTGACATGAATATAATAGAGTGCAACACCAAGCAATACTACATGTCATGCATGCATTCATTCAGACACTGATAGAAAAACCTGAAACTGCAGGGAAAGGTGCTCTCTTATCTTTTGATTAGGAAGCAGCACAGACCAAGGTTATCAAACCAAATGGCCCTAACAGCAAGATTAGCACCATCACAAGCCTTATCACTAACTCATATTTTTCAGCTTCAATTTAATTACCCTCATAGATCTTTAGTTCCTCTATCATGTACATTTTTAGCTAGAAACAGAGCAGGGGTGCTGAGAAGGATAACCAGCACAGTTTACTAGACATTCTAAAAGTAGTTTTCCAGACCAATGCAAAAGTAAATGCCTCTACGGTATTTTCTGCAAAGAGTCTTGAAGGCCCATATTCCCATACATATTGAGGTTAGGCCCCTTTCCTTCCTACCATGATGACAAGAATACTAGTGCCTTTCTTTTATCCATTCACCATATTATCACCAATACATAAAACTGGAAACTTGTTCTGCTAAAATTTTATGAAACCTTAGTAGACCTGACTTTCTTCATTTTAGCCTTTGATGAGACAAATGAATTCACGGATAAAGGCAATTTCTGGTCCATCCAATTCTCAACATTGCATCATAATCTAAATTTGGCAAAGTCCAACAAAAATTACTAAGCATCCATAAAAAATATAGTATGAAGAGTGCGCACGCATCATAAAAACAGATTAGCAAATGTAGATGAATGTATGAATCAATCTAATTGAAAAGGAGGCAGTACCAGAAACATGTATATAAATAGCTAACCATAATTTCCTCAACCAGTATCAGTTTGATTTGCCTCAAAAAGAGAAAGATAAAAGGTAACATTCAAACACATGCCTAAATGTAATCTTACATTTGACAGCCTGAAGGGGCAAAACTTGGGCCTCCCTCTACGGCCATACTTGAGCAACTGAGCTCCTCTTTTAAGAGCGGTGATGGCCTGCAGAAAAAATTGCAGCATGAAACTAAATTGAAAATAAACTAAGCAGGCTATGCACAGTGATCTTATAGTTGAAGAGAATAGCATTCACGGTTTTGTACATGCATCACAAGTAGAACTTCCAGAGATGTACAAATTTTTCTCACCGTGGAGAAAAATCTAATAGCGCAACTGTATGATTATATCTCACAATAAGCAGATTCTTATCTCTTTTTTCTTCAATTTCTTTCATGCTCATGGTCCATAATCTATTCAAATCTTTTCTCTTATCCCAGATACCAACATAAGTCTTGGTTTCTAATATAGAAATAAGAGGGGATGGTGCACTGCCCTGCACAGCAGTAAAAATAATGGGTACTTTGTATTGAGCCCATGACATAGATACCATCTGAGTGAGTATTTACAAATTATTGATGCCAGATAGATATGACCACTCACCAAGATAAAAAGATGCAAATTGAGTTGTTAGTCTGTGCTCCAAATTGCATTACAGATAGTACAAACAACATTTTTCCTGACTATATTATTTATATCTTTCACCGTTCTTTGAAAATTTCCGGAGAAACATGCATAAAGTTGAGCCTTAACACCATGTCTTGATGTTTTTCCATATATCCTACCATCACTGCACTTATGTGTTAGTGCCCAATGTAAGACTCGCTCATGCACACTTAAGAAATGTACAAATGCAATTAGCTTACCCTAAAAAGTCGACTAGAATAGTCCATTAAGACTTGCCAATAATCACATGTGATGACATGTTGACACAAACACATCCTATAATAGCATTTCACAATTCAAATAATTTTATGATCTCCTATTGCACTTGGTAGCTTAAATGAAAATTGGCCGCAGAAAATTGACATAATTCATCAAAAACCCTCAAATCCCATTTCATTAATTTGAAACAATTTATGATATCAATGATTCAAAGAAATGAAAAATCAACTTAAGAAATGTACGAGTGCAATTAGCTTATCCTACAAATTCAACCAGAACAGTCCATTAAGGCTTGCCAATGACCACATGTGATGACATGTTGACACAAACACATCCTATAATAGCATTTCACAATTCAAACAAATTTATGATCTCTTAATGCACTTGGTAGCTTAAATGAAAATCAGTGGCCGCAGAACAATTGACATAATTCATCAAAAACCCTCAAATTTCATCTCGCTGGTTTGAAAAAAGTTATGAAACCAAAGATTCAAAGAAATGAAAACTCAACTTTCAAATAACCAGAAGGCCAGCAAACACAGTCAGTGCTAAATGACTTTAACATTTAATCAGCATCGCCATTTACCTGCTTATGCTTTTAACACAACCACATTGCACTCTAATATCAAAAAGAAAAAACAAATCTACGACACAAACATAACACTAAACTTCTTAATCATCAACGACATATTAATTAGCAAAATCAATAACACTTTATTATACCAATAAACAGTAACAAAAAATTACCAATTCAACATCTCTCTCTAAGGGGCCCACTCGCAACGCCGGCTCCAAAGTAGCCATTCTCTCCAATCTTGACACGATCAAAACTCTAACATAACCCTACACATCGCAACGCCGCCACAACAACAACAAAATCCACCAACACAAACACACATTGCCTCATTTAAACCCTGAATCACTCACTCTCAGCTCCTCGAAACCCTCACATTACCAAGAATAAAATCTCGAACAGCTAAAAAAATTGCAAAACCAATCTATTCAATCTTGAACAGTCAAAAACGTAAGAAATAAATCGGCGGAATCGACTACGAAAAAGGATGATTATTAGGTTTTAACGCAGCACGACGAGAGAATATGATGTAATCGAATATTCTATTAAGTCCGTTGGATTCGAGGAAATGTGTTTTTTTTTTTTGTTTGGTTGGGGAGAAAATGCGAGAGAGAAAAGGGAAAGGAAATAGGGAAAGGGAAGCTCGTTCGTTTGCTTGTTATTGATGAGAGTGGAGTGGCTGAGTGAGAGAGAATCTGTTATTTAATTAAGAGAGAGAGAGAGAGAAATTGAGAGTTCTTGAAAATGATTGATTTTGAGAGAAGTTGAGAGTTCTTGAAAATGATTGATTTTGATTTATTTTTTCCCCCTCTATTGTGCCCTAAAGGCACATGTTCAAGAAATCACTCAAATTTTCCAGTTACCACCACCGCGAGTAAATTTATGGTAAATTGAATTTTCTATTTTTTATAAGAATTATTACAATAATAATATAGAGATAAATATCTAATAATTGAATAGTTTAGATTAAAGTTATTAGATTTTGCTAAGCTTGTGGTTAGTAGAATTAATTCAAAATAATATTATTTCAAGATTTAAAAAAAAATTCAAGCCTTGTATAGATTTTGCTTATATTTATAAATTGACTTGAATTAAAGATAAACCATGTTAACTTATATTTAATTTGTTAAATTTAAAATTTAACTTGAATTAAAGATTGAATGGATCAAATTTAATAGTATTAGTTTAGATTTTATAAACTTAAATTATGAGTAAAAAAGTGCATAGATATTTAATTTGTTTATGGAATTCTATAAAAATTTAGTTTTGATAAATGGAAGAATATTTTAAAAGAAAGTATAATTGAAGACAATATGAAAGGAAAGATGATCCAGAGGGATATTAGACTGCTTTGATGTATGAAAATATATGAAAGTTTAATGGAAAAAATCTCATATTAATTTTGGTATATGAAGAAATAATTAAAACAATTTTTTAAAAAATAATTAACGAGAGTTGTTTTGGATTAACTTTCCTGTAGTAAAACTATATTATTACTAAATATTAATGCTCAAAACAATAAATAATGTACTCATAAAAAAATATTTTCTAATAATTTCCCTGCCCTTACTCGATAGGGATATTCCAACTAAAATATACTTTATAAAAAAATATTATTCACTTACTACCTCGGACTCCAATTTGAAGCACGTGGATACGCAGAACATGCCATTGCCTTGGGTCAATTCATTTATTTATTTATTTATTGCACTGACCTTAGTCAACGATGCTGACTTCTTAATGTTTGTCGCGTGGCCATGAGACCGTCTGGATTTTGGCCATGTGAGGCTGGGGCCTATCGAGGAACTTTTTGTTCATTTCACGGCACCGTTTTGTGTTGTCGTCTTGTGAGTTTGCTATAAATATCTCCATGTCAAATCTAAAGTCGGAGATTTACTCAATGGTAAGATCTATATCAAAATGTGTTTTTTTTTTTTTTAAATAAACACGTTGTTTTGAAATGAAAAAAAATCATGATCGAGAAAAACAACAGGGCCCTACAACTGAGCCTATGGGCCAGGAAAAGCTACATGCAGTTTGGAACTGGCCCTCTAAGGCTAAATCAAGTGAGGCCGGGCCACCTTATAGACGAAGACCCAGAGCCATTCTGTTAGGAAACAGAGAAAAAGTAATTTTGGGCCCCCAGATAATTTTATGTTCTCACAACCGAAGGCAGCAGAACACAAATGGGCCCTATGAATGAAATATCTCTCTTCGGAGATGCCCTTCTTGACCCTAAAGGCTACTATAGTCATTGCATCAAAAAATCTAATGACATCTCTTGAAAAGGCGAAAAAATCAATAAAGCAACCTGCTGTGTTTCGTTTTAAATGGAATCTCTCTCTTGAAAATAAATAGAAGTGACTGGGGTGAATTGAACTGGGCTTTCTTAGCCCAACATGGGGTATTGAAAAATTATCTGTTTTACATTTTATTCAGGTGAGATGTCAGTTTTACCTTTATTTAGGTGAGATGTTAGGTTTATCAGTTTATCGAATTTATATATATTTAAATTTAGTGTGTAGCTGAAATTTAAAAATATTAAATTTAATAACTCATTAAATTAATATACATTTAGATTTAGTATAATTCATATGTACTTCAATTTAACAGAACACGTTCATGCCTATTAATTCAAGCTTAGTATTATGCCAAATATATATATATATATATATATATATATATATATATATGTGATGAATCAATATATTTTGTTTATGTTATTTTTTATAAATCTAATGTTTTTTAAAATAAAATAAAAAACAGGACAATAACGCAATACACATATAATGGCATGATACTAAGTTTGAATTAATAGGCATGTGGCTTAGCTACGCCGAATATATATATATATATATATATAAACATTGCAAGCAATACCTTATTGATCAATGAATTGGATGAAAATAAGATATAATTGTTGATTAGTTTTAGCAAAACAAAAATGAATTCTTCCTGTGGTGATTCACAACGGGACTAATAATGGATAAATCCTATTAGCTTGATTTCCATCTTTCTCAATTAATCTATAGAGCATGTACGCGTCAAAAATAATGAAAAAAAAAAAAATCGGAAAATCTCCTGGGATCAGACAACTTCCAAGCCATCATTGTATCTTGTTCTTGTTCGATCTGGAGAGTTAACAATTTCTTCCATGCCCTTTCTCTTGTTATTGGGTTGATCTTCTTCTTCTTCCTTGCATCTTCCCTTCATTAGATGGGGTCTAAGCTTGTTGACATCTGATAATTGAACTGGCTTCAAGAAGAACTCTTCAGCTCCTTCTTTTAGGCATCTGATCAATAAAAACCATCCATAAACCAAGTCAGATTTAAATATTCCAAGTTTCATCTTTGAAATGCAAAGAAATTGGAAAAAAATCATCAATCTGAGTTGCCTCACCTGTTGATTCTTGATGGGACATTCTCTGAGGACATGATCACAACAGGGATGTCCTTGAAATATTTAGATTCCTGAAAAAAATATGCAGCCATAGAGTCAGATTTCTAGCACATGATCAATGGGACAAAAACAGATTAATACCTTGAAGCACAATCAGATTGATTACCTTGATCTTTTTTAGAAGATCATAGCCTGTCATTCCTGGCATACAGTAATCTGTAATGATCATATTAATTTCAATGTGCTGATGATAGGGGTCAGGGGAAACAGAGGCAGGTTTTGAATCTCTCAGCTCATTTTCTCCATTCAAGCCCAAAAACTCCAAGGCCTTGCTTCCTGAATCCACTGCCGTGACTGTAAAATGACCCAAAACCAAAAAAAAAATGTCAGTAATCAAGAATCCAAGATCAAAATGATATATAATCCAAGAAACCCTTTAGGCTTTGACATCCATATACATGGCTATGGTTGTACCTTGATAAGAAGAGGTTTTAAGGAGCCTTTCAATCAACTTTCTGTCAATAAGGCAATCATCAACAGCAAGAACATGAAACTGAGTCTCAGTAGCCATAGCCATATCCACAGTCATTACAATTCCACTAACGATGTGTCAAGCCAAGAAGAGACGGAGAAGAAGAGAGAATATTGAAACGAATAAAGCGGGATGAAGAGAAAGAAGGGAAGGGAAGGGACTTTTAAATGGGAAGCCATGGGAGGTGCGAGTCCTGTAGAAAATCTGGACACTTTGGAAAGCAAGATCCGGCAGATTTCCTAGAGAATCTTAAGGATCTTCTACGTTGATTTTTGAATTAGACAACAAGCAAAGATGGTGATATGTGTTTTATTTTTTCCATTTTAATAATTGGACCTTACTCGTTTTATTCTTTTTAAATCTTGACCCTTCGATTAAAGTTTGAGACAAGCTATTCCAGGAAGGTGCCCCCAACTTGACCTCTTCAATTTCAGACATGGTACGGTTTGACAGTTCCATGCACGTGCATAAACTGCTACCAGATATGCAATTGTTTTTTTTTTTTTTTTGCCAAATTTCTAGGTTGCGGGAAAAGACTGTAATTATCGAGTTAAGATCAATTAATTTTATTATAATTTTTTCAATTAACTTGGTCAGATCAACCAAATTTTATTTTATTTAAAATCTACATCAGCTTATAATTTAAAATCAGCATTGTAGGGAAATATTTTAAGGATTAAGTGGTTTTGAAAGAAGATTTTCACGTCCATCTAACTTGATTTGTCTTATAAGATCATCTAACTTGATTCTATTAACAATTACATATGAGTATTGCTTATAATATGTTTAACATTGTGGTACAATGTATTTTATTTAAAGATGTGTTAAAATAATTTTTTTAAATTTTATTTTTAATAGTAGCACATTAAAAAATACCAAAAAGAAAAACCAATCAATTTAATATTTTTCATATCAAATATATTTTTGAAACAAATTAAACCTTAATATAAACACGGGGTGAAACTAATGCCATGATTTTGGCGGGCGAAACTTCACATCTTAATCATGTTTTTTGCATAAAAACGTAATTAATTATGATCCATGGGAATTAATTTGTGGGGTCTTTCTAACTGTTCTTTCTTTGGATTTATTTATGGGTTTTGTTTTCTTTTTTGGAAGACATTGCATCTTGCCTTGTTGTGTTTTGTTCGGTGTACCAAATAAATTAGGCACTCGATTGACCCTAATCTTCTATTACCCTCAATAAAAGCAATTTGTAGTTTTCTTTCTCTTTCTCCATTGAAAATTAGATTTGCCTGCGCCTGTGGTTTTCTTTCTAGGATTTAGCATTTGTGATCAAGGCTATAATTATGTCATCAAAATTCAGAAGCAACGGGCAAGCCACTCGCATAAAAGAAACTCCTTCGAATATACAAGTGTCAGCACGAGCAATGGGCAAATGGCAAGCAACCAGCAATGACACACAGTTTAGAACCCACAAGCAACCAAGCAAGGCTCGTTAGTTGAGAACTTGTAAAGCATAATTCAATCCTCAACCTCTCGCTAATATATCAAAATCCTCTATATTTTATAATTTATTTTATACTACATTATTATACTTTTATGACTTGCATTACAAATTTAATAAATTAAAAAATATTAACCCGGTTAAATCTAATATATTTTCATTGTAATTTTTTTAAAAATTTATCTTGATTATCTAAGTGAAATTATATTTTTAATAATTATTTAAATTATCTTTGAAATTACTAAATCAACCTAATTATATTAAGTTGATCCTTACATATATTTTTTTTACTAAAAAATGGTAGTAACGTTTAACTTTTTATAT